AGCGATAGGCATCTTTGGAGCACATCAGTATATTATTTTTTCGAGGGTTCAAAGCCTGAAATGAGAATACACAACAATTTGAAGGTCTCGACTACCTACTTCTGCTTTTTATACTTCCGATTTTCGAACATTTCACAATTCTACGCGCGGTTTCGATCAGTACCGATGCATGCTCACATTGTGCATCACCTGAAATTTAAAATAATGTGTTTCAAGACGTGAAAGATGTAAAACTGTGCTCTGTGATTGTTTTTTTTTTTTTTTTGTTTGGTTTTGTTTTTTGTTTCGCGCTGTGCGTGGTAGCAATGAAAGCGAACTCATTGTCGGTGATTGTGGATATGTGCGCCGACGTCGTCGACGGGCGGAACAATAATTGCGTTAAAAAGTTTCAATGTGGGTCAAAAGAGTCGCGCGCCCGCCGCCGCCACCGCCGCTGTTCGTCGTGGTCATGACCTTGCGCCGCATTAGCGCTGTGTGTGTGCAGCAGCGTCGTTTCTTTTAAGCGGCGAATGAACTCGACGTGCGAACGGAAAACTACTGCTCTGTGTGTGCAACTACTGGTGTAGAGAGAGGAACAAATGAAGCAAGAAATTAACAATCGGCGAGTACAACAAGCAACAAATCGAAATTGAAATCAGTAAACTGGTTGGGGATTTGTTACAGGTAGAAATTAATTAATATCTTTGAGAGTGTTTAAGTTTGGGGGTTGATTTTTGGGGTGTTTGTTAAGAATTAAATTCTACGTCGATGTGTGAAAACAGATTGTTGATAAGTTGTTTTTATAAAAAGTTATTAACAAAAAAGTGGATTTTTATAATTTTTTTTGGAAAATATGCTGTAAATGTTTTGGTTATTTTGTGGTGATAAGATTACGAGGTGAATTAGGTGCAGAATTTAATCCAGAATAGATTTTTAAAAGAATGAAAACAATAGCTTTTTTAGTTTAGAAGATATTTGATAAAAACTGAGATAAAACATGGCCGGTACTTTTTTTCGGAGTCAATTTATTTTACATTTTTTAAAATAACTTTTATAGTTCATAAGCTAGACTAATAATTTTCGGGACAGTTATTCAGAATGAAATTCCACTTCGAACTGTAAAAATAGATTGTTGATAAGTATTTTTGTTAAAAAGTTATTAACAAAAAAGTGAAATTTTTATAATTTTTACTAAAATGGCTTTAAATATAGTAATTATTTGGTTTTAATAATATTATAAGGGAAAATAAGACGCAGAATTTAAACCAGAATATATTTTTAAAAGAATCAACTCAAAATCTCTTTTAGTTTAAAAGTTATTAAATAAAAACTGCGATAAAACATGATCGGCACATTTTTCGGTTCATTTTTTAAAATTTTGCCACTTTACGCATTGAAATCACACGATATGACGAGTTTTTGAATGAAAATAAATAGCAACACGTACAAAAATTAAGTACATCTGTCGGCAACACTGATATCCAATTTTACGACGTCTGATGCTGCGAAAAATTAATAAAACGTTGCACACGATGCACGTAATTTCACACAACACACAAAAACACACATACAAAGAAAAACTAAAAAAAAAAAGGCAGCCACAGCACGGCAACTGTTGCAAAACTCAAAACGTAAATTAAATAATATCGTGGGCGTAGTACCAGTGCAGCAATGCAGTCATTCTTTTGTTTATCATCGTGCAGCTGTTGCGCGATGGCAACACGACGAGAAGACTTGCAATTGCAAACTAACCGCCAAGCGGCGAGATGTGTCGGATGTTGGGTTATGTGGGCGCCGCGCGATTGCAAAATACGATCGCGAAAATATCAGACCCACAACGCGTTGAAAATACGTAGTGGGAAAGCGTAGGGACCGCGGGGACGCAGCCGGGAAGCAGTACTGACTGCGAAACACACCAACGACGACGAATCGCGGGGAAGTCGAGCGAGCGCCCCGACGCCGATCAATACGCGCAACCCCTGGGTTTCTCTCTGCCGGCTACCCAGGCTGGCGGCGAGCGTGTGGGGTGGATAATTCCAATGCCATACCGAATACCGAATATTCGGAATTTAGACATTTAGACATTCCACGGGTGGAAAATTAATAAATTTATCTTTTCGAGGCAAAGATTTGAACATTTTTGAAGTTAATATTTGTTTAGATATAAATTTAGTGAGGCTTTATCGCTGTTTGCAGTATTTGTATTTGTCCCAACGCTGAGTCAGCTTATTTATTTCCCTTATTTTCACTTATTCCGTACAAATGTCCTGCTTCCGGTGCGCAACACGCACGCATCCGACATCACATGTTCGCATTCAACAGCAGAATATGTAATTAGTTCTATTTACAAACTTGTTTAATTTGTGGTTAGGTCACATTCAATGTGCTAATTTTTAACGAATACATAACCTGCAAATTGTATATTATAAGTTTTTTCTTTTCTTTGAAAAAAAAAAAAAAGATTTTATTTTGTTCGCATTGTGTTGCCGTAGCCATGACAGATATCCGGATGTTTCACATCAGTTGAGTGAAAGTTTCACGTATATCCAGTTTTTCGACAGTCTTCCTTGCGCGCTTCCTTTGCTTGTCGCAACGTTTTCGCCCGCGGGCGAGATGGATACGTATTATATTATAAGTTTGGCAGCGTGTGCCATGCTGCCATGCGTGAAACGTTAACTCGATTGAATGTATAGTACACGAAAAGCAAAACGAACAGTGAACAGCTTCTATTAGTACGTTAGCTGGGAAGTGACGAGACGAAATGAGGAAATATGTCTGGAAAAATATCTGTGTGTTGTGTGGGTGTGTGTGTTTGATAGTTGAATGCTAGGAGTAAAAGTCTTAAAAGACAATAAGCGTGCGTCCCGCGGGACGCGCGTCTAATATCATTACGGCTCAGACGCATCGCAGACAGCTGCGGAAACGAATTTTGTGTTTGGAAGTTTACTAGGAGAAGACTTTTGTAGGAAGACTTGAACTGTAGAAATGAAGGTGGGTGCTTTGGGAGGATTGAGGAGTTAGAAGGGAGGAGGGAAGAATAGACAAGTGCCGGAAAATACTAATATGGATAATAAGGGCAGGAGGTAACGGCTGGGGACGCGCTGGAGCGAAAGGCGAAATGAAACAATGAAACGAGTGGGAGATGTGAAATGATTGGATGTAGGGTTAGGAAGATAACTGAATTCGGGATTATTTAGTTTTCGAATTAGGAATTAGGCTTATAGATGTGACTTTGCGCTCTGTTTTGTTGGTTATGTTAGGTTATAATCTGGAAAACAAATAGGAGTAAGTAAATCGGTATTATTAGGTATTTATTTAAGTGGAATAAGGTTATGGAATACAGAAAAGCGTTTTTTATTTAATTTTCCATTGTTTTATATATTTTTTTAGTTATTAGAGGGAATAACTCAAAATTGACGTCATTTTGAAGGAAAATGTAGATTGGGATGCCTACCGCGAGAATTTCGATAGTATTTTGTTGATATTGCATTTTGTTTTTTCAAATTTGGTTCAATTAGCATCAAATTTTCGATTTTAAAAACTCAATATTGATGTTAGAAGCAATTATAAGTGCAAAGACGCAAGTTTAGAGGTTATAAACTAAAAAGTAACTTTTTAAAAACGAAATAAACAATTTTTGAAAAAAATATCTTATTCATATTTATTTGGGAACATTTTAAACATAAAAATAGTGTCTATTATTTTTTCTGATTTTTCTTTTCGCTTCCTGCGTGAATCTAACTTTCTTTTCTCAAAATAACGAAGCTATTTATTGTTGTACAATTGAGAACTTTGTGAAACGTGAGAAAATTGTGTCTTAACTCGCGACACAACCGAAAAAACAACACGTATTCCAAATTTATCCTAAATTGTTGAATAATTTTGACATCGTTAGAAGAAATTGCTCTCAAATTGCATTTTTACTTGACTTGAAGCAATATCTTTGAGCACTTCTCGTTGCTTTAACCTAAGTTAGCTCTGATGTTGGATATTAGACGATAAGCAACGACCCCGCCGCTCTGCCGGTGGACTTAATTGGGTGTTAAATTGCCAATTAACGAACCTGGAACTACCCTGCGACGCGCCTCAAATGTGTATCGCAAAATATATACACACAACAATGAGATTTTACTTTTTGCATGTACAAAAACAAAATTGCAATTAACTAACATGCCTCACATGAGTACATGAGTTAGTTATAAGTTAATATCACCATCACGCGGTGATAAAATAAGTTAAAATTTCATTTTCGCGTGTGTGCGTTAATGGAAACGATGATAGCGATAACCAGAACAGTGTAACTAAAACTAAACTATGCACAAATGCAAACACAGACACAAACATGAAAATGTTTGGTGTTGGAAGAGATACTAGTCACACAGATAGACAATTTCCGCACGGCACGAAACGATAATATCGATCGGTCATCGCCAGACTGTTTGAGTTTCTGGGGAGTGGGTTTGACCAGAATCAAAAGCACCATTTGCGGAGTCATATGAGTAAAAACCAAGTTTAGGCTTAAAATAAGTCAAAATTTAAGTCAAAATAAATTTTTTGATTATGGTTGATTTTTTTGTTTTCTTTGCTTGTTTGTTCATTTGTTTGAAAATTCCAACGGCATGTAATTAAACGAACTTTATTTTTTCGATTTTTAACTTGTCAATTCATTAAATGCACTTATAATTAATGTTTGCACTTAAAAATACAGAACTGAACTTAAAAATAAATATTTGCACTTTGAAAAATGAATTCCACTTGAATAAAATGCTTTCCACTATGAAATTAATACTTTGCACTTATAAAACTTGCAGTATTAAGTACGTGCCGTACTCTTAGCCGGCCCCTTCTATCCCCCCCCCCCCCCACCGCCCCTCAAATAATACCAAACAAGGTAGCTTACCTAACCACCACCCCCAACCCCCAACCGCCAACCACCTCCTCCCCCCAACCCCCAACCCCCCCACAAATAATACCAAACAAGGTAGCCTACCTAACCACCACCCCCAACCCCCCGACCACCCCCAACCCCCCGACCGCCCCACAAATAATACCAAACAAGGTACCCTACCTAACCACCACAAATTATAAAGTTTCAATTTAAAAAGTTGATTCAAAGCAAATTTAAGCTTAAACCTGAATATATAAGTGCATTGTATTAAAATATAAGTTATACAATCTATAGTGCATAATATGAATTTCTTAGTGCAAAGTATGAAAACTTAAGTGCGGCTGTTCAAGTGGACTGTATTTTAACTAAAGTGCATTTAATATATCCCCAATTCCAACACAATACAATTTTTCTTTCACTTCATGATGGAAATTGGCGTTGTTTTTTGTTCGTGGACGCGTGGAGCGTACAAAAAACGTAAAATCGAGAGGAAATGAACACACGCTGGTGAAAATTAAGCCGCCCCTAAGCATTCACTCAACTCAGGGCGCAGCTGATACTGAATGCAAATACGCACGAACAGAACACACTGCGCATTGTAAGCTGGCATAGAATGGAAGTGGAAAAGAAGCGAAATAAACGAAACGAACGAGAGTAATAAGCAAAGAGTCCAGTGTTTATTCGAAAAATGCAAAAAAAAAACGCCAGGCTTTTGTATTCATGTTTTAGTCTTATTTTGGGGCGGTGTACATTTCCTAATTAAAATTATAATCTTATTTGGCGAGAAAATTGTGAAAAAATCGTGTTTTTCAATAGGGAAATGAAAAAAAAAAAGTTTCAAGGTCAAAATGGTTGTATACTTGTAGTAATGGACATTTTGAAGGTGACAAAGTAACTTTCGAAAGCTTTTGTGGACATTTTACGAATTGGTTGTAAAATCATTATGTTTCTTTTCAAAATGCACTCTTTTTGTGTTTGGGTATTGTCACTTTACAAGTTGTAATATACTTTTGGTGGTTTTCGAGTCAACTTTTACATTTTCGACAAACATAACCATAAAATTCAACTCACTTCCATTGCTTCCATTACTTTCAACAGAAATACTTACAAGAGCTCATAACAATTATCATATTAGCATAAAACAGATAAAAAGCAATAAAAGAAAAGACGTGTTGAAAACGAAAACTTGCGACAACAAACAAAGAACAGTCGTTGCAATAACACCGGATGAAAAACTGCGAACTCAAGAAAAGTCGTTTACGATTATTGCCTATAAATTTTCCAACTTTTAGCATTCACTGAAACCAGCGCGACATTTTTCTGTTTTTTTTTTCTTCAGAATTCAGAAATTCGCTGAAAATTCATTAAGTTATTGTCAATTAAATATTTCATTAAATTTATGTACAAACCACAAGAGCTTCTAATTTCATGTGAAATTAGAATTTAATTAGTCTTTGTACGTACTTTGTTTTTCGTTTATAAATTAAGTAAAAGTTCAACGTTTTTGCAAACAGAAAAAAAAGTACATAATTTAATATTCTGCGCATGTCATGATGGTAATTATGGTAATGACGATGAAACGCCAAAACCTAACCAAACCTATGCATTACTAATAGTAATACTAATACATTCATAAAGGTAGACGAAACCCTGTGAGCTTTGAGGATGCTCACAAGAAGGATTAAACTAAGTCGTGTGCTGCCTTTGTGCGGTAAGGCACGTCGGCTGGCTTTCAACATCATAACCAAAACACAAAGCCAATATTCAAATCAAATGTGAACTTGTACCTATTGCTAAAATTACCCCAGAGGTAGTATTGTCATGTAACAGAATGAGAGAGGTGACCAAAACCGGAAAAAGGGAGGAATGCTAGGAAGCAATTATGCAAAGTGACGGATTTAATTCATTACAATACGAATACTCACAAAAGATGAGTGTTTAGGTGTGTTTGGTTGCATATCAAGCGAATAAAACGCGTTTTTGAGGTTATTTTGTTAGAAGAGAAGCGCGCGTTGTATTTCTGTTTATATTGATAGTAATAAAGTCATGGAAGCATTAGTAAGGTAATTCAACGCGATACTATCGGGCGAAATGGCCGGAATCATCGAAATAACAGCGACAAATGCGCGTAAACGACGCTCGAAAGTCATAAACTGCCAACCGCAGAAGAAGCATAAAAATTGATGATGAAATTAATATCGAAATATTTATTTTTCGGTAGAATTCTGTCGAGTGTAGGTTATGAGTGAGGTTATGGTCACAGCGCAGCCATTACGTGAGCACACGTTTCACCAATTTGCAGAAATTCAGCATAACACATTTTCTATCTTATTTTAGTGTGTGTGGTGTGTGGCATGCTAAGATGAAAACCGAAAAGGAAAAGGGGTTGCGAATGTGCCGAATGTTGCGATGCGTCGGGCGCGCCTCGTAAAAGCCGTAATAACACGGCGTACACTGCAGTATACCCCTATATTGTGGTGTGGAGCGGATAGGGGTTGGTGTGTGAAACGTGCGCGTTTGAAACGTGTCGGTCTTTCTATTTTACTTTCGCAGTGAACAAAGAGTTTGGGTTTAGAGGTTAGGTTATGTTATGTTTACACTTTTGATTCGAAGAGCTATAAAAACATAACCTATATTATGATATATTTTATTTGAGGTTATTTGAGGTTATTTTCTATAGCTTGTAATGAAGCAATTTATATTCCGATAATTTAAATCTTGTAGGACGTGTAATGTCGCATCAGTTGAATAATTTTAATTTTAATTTTAATTGCTTTCATCTAAATTAAAAGTGTAAATTACGTCGCGCACCTTCTAAGCTTCCGTATTTCTTTCGTTTGTCTCCGACAACCCTTCGTACTTTTAGGTTTCAGCTTACAGCTTCCACCCTTGTGGAGTAAATTCTTTTGCGTAGGTTTTTTTTTTCGCTCGCTCGTTTTTCTTGTTTGGTACATCATTTGCATGCCTTTGTAGCTCAGTGAACGCGCATTAAATTTGCATTCCTATATTCTTGCATTTGCATCGCATCTGAATTTACACGTATTTTATTTTATTTACACTCATACCGGAAGAAGTAACGGAAGGAGGAACTATTAAGATTGTGATTTAATTGCAAGTGCAATTAGAGAATATTAATTAATTTGAGAGAAGATATAAGAAAATGTGAAATAAAATAAAATGGATGATTTGATTGATATTTTTGGTAATAAAAACGAAAATTGCCTGTTGGAGAGTGTATTATTGACTTGATGGCGTTATTAAGACCGCTGCATTGCTCAAGTAGCACTTTGGGAAGTTGCAAGTGGCAGGGAATTGTGGATATTGTGACGTGGAATGATGGAAGGAGGGAAATTGGATGTATTCACTACTCCAGACGTCTGACAGACGACAAAAAGAAGTAGAAATCTTTAATTTTAGGATTTTTTCTTCTTATAACCTAAAAATATTATTTTAACAGTTGGTATTACTGAAAATAAGCTAAAATATTTATTTATTTGATAATATTTGGTAGTAGAATGAAACATGAAAAATTCGTAAAGAACGTCAGGATAGCTAAAAAAGACCAATCAGAGCAAGCAACTTGACTCTGACGTCACTTCCCTTGGCCAATCAAATGAGAAATGAGATTTATAGCGCGAAATTTAAAATTACAAACTAAAATTTAATGTTTTTACCAACAAAATCAATAATTCTTGAAAAAATATTTTTTATGGACATTATCCGATCTTTTTTCTACAATTTTCTTCAATTACAATTCCCATTACAGTGTTGCAACATCTAACAATCCTATAACCTAACTTTTGAGATTATCAGCTTTGTAAAACACATTCCAACCAAAACTACAATCTCATTCTCCACCCCTCCCCATAACTTTCGATTTGTCCAGTTAAACCCAACCCCAAATAAGTGCCCAAGTTCCAAAACTTGTACCAATACAAGCCCTATGCAATTCATTACAATTTGCGGCTTCAACTTCCAAGATATTGAAATGAAATTATAACCAAACCTTCAATGTACTATGCGCACATGTACAACCACGTGATGTAAATTTTAATTTGATGCTTCCTATGTATAAGCAACTACACTTACACCTAGTCGTCTAGTTGTGGTGTAGTTGTGGTTACATACTTCATGTATGATTCAAAGGGTTGCAATCGACTTGCTCGGCGCTAGTAGAGTTACACTAAGAGTCGATCGAAGCCCCGACGCCATTATTCGTTATTACTCGTTACCGAATCGAAACGGCCCGGGCGTCGCGTATAATCACGAAATTAATGACTATAATCATCCGACGTCGCCTGCGGCCTCGGCCACGACATGTTGCGGTAATTTATTTCGCTATATTTTTAATGAAACGTATCGTAAAAACTAAATAAACGCATTTTACAGTCACTTTTTAGGAATTTACTATACACTCGTGTATATTCGGTTATTTTCCGTGTTATTATTATATAATACTCCATGATAACAAACAAAATGAGTGGGAATTGACTTAAATATAATTTAATTCTAAAAATAACCACAAACCTTTTGAATTTTTGAATTTTAATATTTTATCCTTTTATAATGTATCCAAGTTTTTAAATCAATATGGCACTACGTAATTGTACACTATGCAACACAAAACACTTTATTTTTATTTTTATTTTTATACTATACTTAAGTACGAATACACTGTTGATGATCCGTGTGAGGTTAGGAAAATATTCACTTTTTAAACGATGTAAATTGGTTTTTAGTTAAGTATGCACTGAAAAACTGTAAATTATAAGTGTTCCAACACCTCACGATAGAAATTTTCGCGGATTGTGTTGAATTTGCGATTAAGTAACGCGCTTAAGTAACAAGTTGAGCGCGCGATAACGCGATAATGTCCGCCGTCGTAAAAACAAATGCAATGCGGTCGACGCCGTCGAGCTGTTCACGGCCACACTGTTCTCCTCTCCTCTCCTCCTCTTCGCTCTGTACTACGTCAGCGCTACGGTTTCATACAGAGAAAAAAACATTCGACAAGTTTTTCATTAATTACTCCGCGAATTTACAAGATACGGGCATGATTCTTTTACAGGTTTTTTCATAATTAAATTACGCATCTATTAATATATAGCTTAAGTTGATAGCATTTATTTAAAGCTGATTAAAGGCAAGTTAAAGTTGTTTAATGTAAATTTTAATTAAATAAACTTAATTTGCCTGTAAATTTTTATATAAACAAATTATTCATATTATTTTTTAACTATTCGATGCGTAATTTAATTCTGAATCGATTGATGTATTAATATTTTATATTCATTGATTAATTAATTTAATAAAAAATAAAATGTAAAATATTTCGTATTTGGGGCATTTACGCATTGAAATGAAAAGTGTAGGACTTGTATGAGAATGAGACACTATACAAACACGAAAAACACGCTCGAAACACGTATTCGTTGACCTTGTCGATGAACGACGATCAACATATGTTTAAGCCGGCTTAGCGGTAGAAATTACTTAACTTCAGTACCACTAGCGCCCCCTGTTGACATTTTAACCACACTAAATCAATATTTTTCGTTTTACTTCTAAAATATTCAAATTGATGCCCTAAAGGCGCTAAAACGTAATGGAAATTTTGATTTTAAGTGTTTACCGAAGTGAAAATTTCATTTTAGGTTATAACGGTTATGCTTAGGGTAATGTGGTGCTGAACGTGTGTAGATTGTGTGCAAAACATGGGGTTAGACCTAATGTGCCATGAAAATATACTAAACTTTGTATTAGAAGCTAAAATTTGATATTTTTGTTACAGATTTAATCTACATTCGAAATTATTTATAAAAAATCAATAAGGTGAGTGATATTTTGGATTTTATTTTATATAAATTTATTTATTGGTGAAAATTGTGGTTGTTTTGAATTTCTACCCTTGGAATTTTGACTAATTGTGAATTTCCGAGTTATCGTTGCGAAACCACTAGATTGCCGCCCCCATGCGGTGCTCTGTCGCCGTGCGGCATTGTCTTTATCGCAGCAGCTATCTGTCAATCTCGACCGCAGAACGAAACGCGGTAAACCACCGATAATACAAAATACAAATACGGACAAATTTTACAATTTGAGTAGGAAATTAATAATATTAAATCGGTAAAATTTTTGGTTTCATTTTAACTTGTTTTAATCGAAGGTGCATGCTCGTTGAACGGGTTCCACCACCTGCTCCACCAATATTCCAACAGAGGGACCGCCGGTAATCCCCTGAGCACTTGAGCAATGCGGTATCGCCGGCGAGGACTAATTAATCGTAACGTGAATCGTCGTGCGGCGTTTTATCGTCGAGCGATTACCGAAATTACACTCTATGGGTACTAATACATGTAGGAGCTATTTATCTATGTTAGGTTAGGATGCAATTTGCTATAGATTGGGTTTAAATAAGTATCTATGCGTGATTTAGTGTTGTATGTTTTTTTTTGAGGTTAGAGTTGTGTTTTAGTATTTGCCAGTATTCGCCTAATTAATATGTGGTTTCATTGTAAATTTTCAAGCGTAAGGTGTGAGGGGAAACTTGGAAACAGTGGCAATGTGCTGCATCAGTCCCTCTCATCCCCGTGGAGGAGTTGGCGCGTCGTAAACAGCTACTAAATAATTCCGTACACTGGAGCTGAGAGTCTGAGTATGGCATAATCATGTAAAAAGCTTTTTCTTTGTTCCCCTGAAAGTGTAACTCACATTTTCACTCACAATTTTAAATATTCAAATATTTTCTTTTTTTCACTCAAAATATTTTCAAAAAAACGAAAATTCACCTAATTAAGTGTCATATTTGAAAATTATTCAAAATTATAATTTTTTTGTATGTGGGATTTATTGCGCATGCGTTATGACAGGTTGTTACGCAAGAAACATTACAAAACTTGCGCGTATAGTAAACTCTCCCTTCTGTTGCTTCCTGTTCCGAAGTTGTGCGCTGCTCCCACTCCGGCTGCCGTTATTCCCGGTATTCCCGACCGGCGGGTCGACGTCCGCCCTTGATATTGAAGACTCCCATCCCCCCGCGCGACGTCGACGTCGCTGCTGGAAAAGTTTCGCCCGTTTTCGCCACGCCGACGAGACGCGTTTCGAGTTTCAAGTTGAAGGTTAACGGACAGCCTTCAAGATATATTCTAGTCTATTCTATATCATTTAGAAATAAGGGACATAACAAAAAAGGGACTCCAGGAACCATATAAAACATGAAGATGCGGTAAATTAAGATTAATTAACTGGGAGTGTATTATTATTACCTACTTAATTGTAGCAAAAAAGGAAGTAGGCTAGTAGTACGAGTACGAGTAACAAGTAGTAAATTTTATTGCGCATGCGCATCACATGTTTGAATAATTACCGTAAAAATCTTAGGAGATTCAATGGTGTATGAAGCAAAGCTGGGAATTTTTAGGTTAGGTATTAGGTAGTTGGTAGTTGGGTGTAAAATGAATAGGTTTCTCGCCGTGTGGTGTGAATGTGAACGCAATCGATCAGCTGATCCCAGAGGACGGAAAGGCCACTGACCTACTCATCTCCTCACTCCTACTCCCCACACATACCCACGGCTCTGCTGCCAAACAACGCGAGTGGGAGAATGCATTATGCGCTCAACAAACCGACATCTCTCCACTGATCGCCAACCAGTATGCGCAACGATGTCGGCGTGATCATTTATCATCGCAATTAATTTTTGTATTCGTTAAAAAAGCGGCTGATGTTTTTTAGACGTCTAGACTGCTCCAGACTCTGGGGCTTAGATTCTGGACCATAGTAGAGTTGTGATGGTGAGTTGAGTTGAGTTGGAATCGATTAATTGACGAAAACCGGTAGAAAATAAGACAAAAACGTTGTTCCCAGGGTAGGAAATAAACGGGCGCGACGCATAGGGCTTGACATGCCCGCAGGAACAGGAATTGGGTGCATTGGGTGGGTTTACTGGCATCGGGGACAAAGGTTTCCGTTTTGGGGAATACGAGGGAAGCCCGGGCGTCTGCTTGATTGGACTTGTAATGCTTCCAATATTTTTACCTCTCTTGGAGCTAAAAAGCACTGGAAACCGGAGGAAATTGAATTTGAATCTCCTACCCTCTTTTGCTTAACAATTTGCAATCAGGCGCTGAAAATATTCATAAGAAAAAAAAACGTGTTTAAATTTTTTTTCGATTTTTTTTTGTTTTTTGATGGTAATTTTCAGGTAATTAAATTTTATGATTGTGGGAATGAGTTCCCCGTTGGGACTGGTCATTAGGGGTTGGTACTGAGGTGCTCTTGATGCCACCTCAACTTTACATACCTTCGTTTTTCGTCTTTTGTGCGCGCTTGATGCGCGCAGCGAAGCGTTGAATATTTGGGGTTGTTCCACAACGTGCGCACCCGCTACCATCCTCTTTAATTTATGTTCGCGCTGCGTGTGCACGCCCGACAATAAGAAACTGCTCTAATTACCCACTCCGGTTCATTTTCTTGTGGGGTTCTTGAGGATTTAGTGTTTTCTTACGCGGACCCAAATTGCAATGCTTGTTTGGTTTAATTAGGCGCTTTTTGAAATATTTCTTCATTTTTTGAAGAAAATTCATGGTAAATACATACTCAAAAGTCACCCCTGGAGCGTTTGCAAATGACAGAATAAGCCGAAATAAGAATGGTCTTCAGTTGTAGGTATAAAAGATGCAAATGCAAATAATTCTCGGCCGCTTTTGGCCTCGGAGGCAAATTCTTTGAAAATATGAATAGGAATGAAATAAATCTGCAGACTGTTGGAGTTCGACAACACCAAGAGAAAGTCTAATCCCTTTTTTGTTCAAATTATTCCAAGAAGTCCAATATTTAACCTCACAAAAATGAGTAGCGTTTCCTAGGCGTAGAGATAAATCTCTGTGATAATAAAAGATAAAAGTTAAAAAATAAATCTCAATAACGAGGCGTAAATTTTGAATGTCTCTGTTTCTGTGTGTCTTTTCCCTGAAATTTACTCTCCACCCTTATAAAAAATACGATTCCTCTTCATTTCTTGATCTCTTCATCTCTCTTATTATCCTAGTGGAGTGGCATCGTCTGTTTTTCTTCTTTTTTACTTCTCCTGAGGTAAGAAGACAGATGATTCTCAATTTCCGTTCAAGTCCAAGCTTTTTCTCGTTTTCACGTTATTTTGGGCTTTTTTAACGTGATGGTGTGAAATCTATGACGGCAATAAACCTAGACCCTAGATGGGGCAGGATAGCAAGTCATGCTTCATGGTGTGGACCTCTGGAACTGAAACTGCACATTCGCACTTTGTTTACTAAACCAGCACCGGCACCCTCATCGCATATACGAGTATTGCAGCCATGATGGGTTCGCTTCGGTTGTGGAATTTCATTCGCGTCGGTCTTATCGTCGGCTCGGTCGTCCCCTTTATTTAACACACACTCACACTCACTCACATACACATGGTGTGTTCAAAATGAAACCCAACCCAATATTTATAGCCCAGGCGGCCCCACAGTCGGCGTCGGATGCATCCTCAGTGTGTTTGTGGACCCACGTGTGCACTACACATCGGCGGCCATTTTTAATCGTCCCTCACACTGAGAGGTACCGAAAATACGCATGCATCGTCGCGTAGGTCGAAGCACAATCCCTAAATCACCCAAATGTCTAGTTATACACGAATATGATAAGCGGGACCATTTGGTACACACCCCGAAATGATTTTTTAGACAATGAAAAAAAAAATAGAAAGAGATGTGAGATGAAAAAGAAGTGTAATGGAACTAATTACGAGGAGAAAAGCTCGAACCCATCGCGACCATCAAAAACTCGTTAAATTTATTATCCATTGAGCATGGGATGCACCTTGAATAATTTTTTTGTTTTTTTAGGTTGGAAACATCCAAAAATAGATTAAAAGTGAATTAATC